TATAAGCACTGAGAATGTGCTGAGGTGACAAAATGTTAAATTACAGACATCCTGTCTTTGCCCTCCCAGTAATTCCTGATCAAAATGTGGCAGTAGGGCAGAAAAAACAGTGCTTTCAGTGCAAAAACTTAAGAATTAAAATTTTAAAAAAATGGAAGAACTATTCTCCTTATAATGAAGCCAGTTCTTGTGTCAGTTGCTCTTTCTCTTTCTGGAGTTTGATGATACTTTGTTTGTTCTGTTCCAGTCGATCTTCCAGCCACTGCAGCAGCGGGCCGCTAATGGCCGACATCTGACTGCACAGGTTTTTAGTGAACACTGAGAAGCACACATACATGCAAATTACAAAAGCACAACTGTAAAAATGGTTCTAAATGTTACACACTTCACATTTGTGAAATAAACAAGGTTAGTCCCACACTATACAGAAAAAAACATAGAAATAATATATTAAAGGGGTCATATGATGCGATTTAAATTTTTCCTTTCTCTTTGGAGTGTTACAAGCTCTTGGTGCATAAAGAAGATCTGTAAAGTTGCAAAGACTAAAGTCTCAAATCCAAAGAGATATTCTTTATAAAAGTTCAGAGTTAACCACGCCTACCTAAAACGGCTCGTTCTAACACGCCCCCACATATCTACCTCACTATGTGGGAAGATTTGCATAATACCGCCCAAATGTTCACGCAAAGAAAGGCAGCGAAACTTTTATTCTCGCTGTTGCCGCAGCCGCCGTCATGTTGTGGAGACGCTGTGTGTTTCGTTGTGAAAGCGAAACTACTTTGTTTGGTCTTCCAAAAGAGGACACGACTAGAAATCAGTGGTTAAGTTGTATTTACAACACTGTTCCAGAACAGTTTAACCCAAATATTCAGATGTGTGCAGCACATTTTACGGAGGACGAGGACTGAACCAGTAGCCTACAATGCTTCTGTGCACAAAGGCTGTTCTATAAAGTGGGGCAGTTCCAACTTTGCAAGGACAGTCTGGCGGTTCTGACTCACAGTCTGTAAGTACGTTTTTTATATTTAAAGAGATTTTATATTTTATATTTTTTATATTTAAAGCGAGTTTTTTGGGCAGTGTAGAGTGGGGCTTGTTGTTTGTCATTTCTCCGATCACAAATGCAGACATGGTTTTATGTTTATGCGGCGCGATACGCAGTAGACGGTATAAAAAACAGTATAAGTCATTATAATCAGTAATTATGTCCCCACTGGATGCCACAAATGCCTCGTTTGTAATGGGTTTTAATGTTTTTGTCTCGTCGCTCCGGCCTGACACAGCATCACAGTATGGCAGGGGTGTAACTTTTTCGTCACACGCTTGAGGTATTCAGCCAATCACAACGCACTGGATAGCTGGCCAATCACAGCACACCTCGCTTTTTCAGACCGATGAGCTTTGTAAAAATCGACGCGTTTCACAAAGGCGGGGCATAGAGGAGAAACATTAATGTACAGTATGTGGAAAATAATGTGTTTTTTGAACCTTAACCCGCATAAACATTTCATTACACCAAATACACAAAATAATGTTCTTTTTAGCAACATCATATGACCCCTTTAATTGACAAATTATCATTTATTTAAAAACGAATCTTTTTGCATTATTAATTGAATAATTTATCTTCTATGCCGTTTGCACACGGAATGTGTTTGATTGATCTTATTTAACAATCTACAGCTGCTTCACACTGAAAAGATGCTGTAACACATTAATTTGTGTGCAAATGAGAAAACAGCTCTGATTTTATTGACCCAAAACCACTACTAATTCCTTCAGGAAATACAAAGTAGATTTCATAATTACCTGATCCATTATGTATCTTTGTGATTGGATCCAGATGAGTTAAACTGAAATATTGGTGCAAAAAAAAATATTGCATGAGGTCCTGAGTAACCCATTCACTAAGTTAAACAATCTGAAACATAATCCACAAGGAATACCTGTGAATCCTTCTGTATGTATCCTGTTCTTCTTGACAGAGGATTCTGGGTAGTTCCACGGCAGACTCCAGACATACTTTCCCGATGGCTTCATGTGGGACTACATGGATGGGGATCTCAATCCGCTCATACCTTGTCATAAGAAAGGAATGCAATTTCCATTTTTATGAGCAAAAGCACTGCACAAAAACTATTTCTCATCAAATACTGAGAGATCAGATTAACAAAACATACACTACCAGTCAGCTGTGGACACACATAAATGTATCTTTTTGTTTATGGAACTATCATGTTTTAGATTATGTATGATGCATGGATCTGAGTTGCAAATCTAAAAATGTAAAGCTTTCAGTTATTCATTCAAATAAAAAGCAGATTATTTACTCTGAGCCTTTCTGGGCTTGTACTGACTGGAAACAGGTGTACAGGACTCTACCAGTCTACAAGAGAAATAGAAAGAAACGGCATGGTAAAAACGTGACAATAAAATAATAACTCTTCAAGTTGATGAGCTTAATATACCTTTGTGTTTTTATCTTCTATAAAGCATGAGAAGATGAGTCCAACAAAACCCTGATCCATCATCTGATACATTGCTTGAGTCCTAACATCTGTATAATGCGAGAATAATTGGAATTTTATTCAAATAAAGGGAAGATAATAATGTATAATTCCATGCATTCATTAAAAAATCCAACTAACCAACATGTGATGGCCACACAGTGATGTGTGGATGAGAGTGGTACCAGCCCACAACCCTCATGGGACGTCCCGTCATCTCAGCCAACCTGTGCCTCATATTAAGAAAATGGGCTAAAATAACATCAGGATTACACTTTATGATAGATTTCTTTAAGAATCATTATATTAAAGCTTTATGAATCAGTACATGAAGTCCACTGATATATGAACATAATGGGGTCCAAATGTCTGAAACCACTAGTCAACTAGTGCATTTTTCTCATTTAAAACTTTTTCACGTTACATCTTTATTATATTATGAGCATTTCGAGTGAAGTGTTTAATTGAAACATGTATTTTGGAAGGTATTAGAATGTATTTAGTATGTCCTCCTTTTTATTCATTCACGTTTACAGAGGTGTATCACGTGTAAAAACAATCTGAACTTTTGCTTTAATAACAGCGGCACCCAAGTTTATGCAAAACTTCATGGTCTTTATTATTCAGCGCGATCTGAGAATGTTCCAATGAATAGATTTTACTGAATAATTTGATAATGTTACAAATTTTCTTGACTGGTGAACTGAACTAGAAATAGTAGACAGAATACTGTTTACTCACGGCTCTTTTTTGTTTGTTTGTTTGTTTGGAAATCCGAAAACTTTCCTTATTTGCTAGAATAAATCACATTTTGAATGTTAGATTTTTATGCGTACTGTACAACCCCATTTCCAGAAAAGTTGGGACATTTCGTAAAATGCAATAAAAACTAGAATCTGTGATTTGAAAGTGAAAGGACATGTGGCCAAGTATGTTGACCCATACTTGGAATTAGTGCTCTGCATTTGTCCCATCCAAAGCGCGCGCACACACACAGCAGTGAACACACACACACCGTGAACACAATTCACTCCCCCCACCTACAATCCCTGCCGGTACGAGACTCGAAACCACAACCTTTGGGTTACAAGTCCGACTCTCTAACCATTAGGCCACGACTTCCCCAGTTAAAGGGGTATTTCACCCAGAAATGAAAATTCTGTCATTAATTACTCACCCTCGTGTCGTTCTAAACCCGTAAGACCTTCGTTCATCTTCGGAACACAAATTAAGATATTTTTGATGACTTCTGAGGGCTCTCTGACCCTCCCATAGACAGCAAGGTAACTACCACGATCAAGGTCCAGAAACGTAACAAGGACATCGGTAAAATAATCCATGTGACATCAGGGGTTCAACCGTAATTTTACACGGATATGTTTTCTATGGATTATTTTACCGATCTCCTTGCTACGTTTCAAAATTAAATTTCTGCTGAAAAAGTATTAAATATTATAGCAATGTTTAGTATTGGAAGCTATTATTGAAACGGTTACCCAGAACATTATACATTTCAAAACAAATCAGTGGGAGTGTTTGATGCATGCCATGGTGCTGAAAGATCACTGTAGTTACATGGTTCTTCAGCCTAAGAAATACCGTGGTATTACCGTGGTACCTGTCCAAAAGCAGGCTACTGCTATAGAACCAGGTTTTTACGACAAGGTTTGTGTTGCAGAATGAAGAAACACGAGATAATAAAAACAGGCCCATAAATAACCGTAAAAAGGTTTTGCATATATTAAAATGCATATATTATTTGTAAGAGAGAGTATGTCAAAGGATATCTCCGCTTCGGTGGACGCTGCTGACAGCTGCTCTGGTGAAATCTCCACTCTGTCTTTTCTCTTGTCTGATCGACGCAGAATTATGACAGAATGAATGTGCACGATGCGGTTTGTGTCCACCTGTTGGTCATTTACAGAGTTTCATAAGCACAGCTGTTGTCGTCCACGCGCAGTTATACAAAACCACACATCACAAACACAAGAAATTCAAACCTCGCCGATGCAGAGCCCCATTACTTCCTCTTTCTCCGTGCTCAGAGCGTGATTCATACAGACTAGAAATGCGTCTGACTCTAAATGTACAGCGCTCACTGCCATTATATGAAGTGCAATCTAACAGTATGCGTTTTCTCTGATTTGTTCGCTTGTTTATCACTGTAAAGCACTTCCACATCAACAAAGCGCATGCGCTACATTCAATTCCTTCCGACAGGAAACGGGGGGGGGCCGTGGTATGTTTTGTTGTATATGGCAAGTCGACTTGAACAGTTAAAATGATCATTCTTGATTTCAGGAATGGAACATTGACTAGTTACATAATGGTAATTCTTGATATCACCAGCAAAAAACACAAATTCTTGATATCAAAAATGGAATCACTCACAGATATCAAATTCTTCATATCAAAATTTGAATTTCGGCTAGTAAAAAGTGCAATTCTTAATTCACTAGTAACATATCACAATAACTTCACATTCAAATCCAGTTACAGATAGGTCTTTCAAATAACTATTCCATTCTGACATACCAAGAAGGCCAGTGTACAGAACTTTTTACAATACAGACAGAGATGGGTAGATTGTAGTTGAGTACAAATTGTAGTTGATCATTGTAATTGAAAACTGTAGTTTGTAATATAATCCAGGTTACTCGTTTTAGGTAAAGTATTCTGACTACTTTTTAGATTGCGTTTTAGTTAACTGTTTTAGTTTTACTATTAAACATACCATGTTGATATAAAAAGCAAAGAGAACGATTTTTATGTATAAACATCATAAAATGCATTAAACCAGGGTTTCCAAAACTGGGCTTAATGTAGGCTAAGAACTGCAGTGTGAGTTAATAAAAAACGAATAATTAATTATATCATAAACATGTCAAATAAATTTAAACACTTGAACTTCATCTGTATATCAATGTGACAATTAAGCAGGGTTGCCAGGTTTTCACAACAAAACCTGCCCATTTGCTACTCAATACTAGCCCAAAAGTGTTTCGAGGGGGGTCCCCCAATAAAGTTGCGTTCTGGGAAATAACATACATGGATTTTTGGCAGGGTTCCCCTGGTAAAATTCGCATTTTAGGGGCTAAATATCATGTTATTGGGGTCGCTTCAACCCCGCGGCAACAGTGTTAAAGTAGCCCAATTCCGCGGGAAAACCGCGGACTTGGCAACACTGCCATTAAAGCAGCACTATGTAACTTTTGGCGCTCTAGCGGTTAATAAACAGAACTGCACACATCCCGCGGAAGAACATTCCAACCGGAGCTACTTCTCTAAGTTTATGTCTCTGGCGATTCACGCAGGTATGTGTTACTCCGCAGCGGCGACCAGCCTACAATAGTCCAAATATAAGTACTTATTATAAGTGTACCGTAGTGATTCGGAAGAAGACAAAAACGCGGTTTGGAAGATGAATTCATGATGTACTCGCTCATTATATATACATTTAGCAAATTTTGAACACAGAAAAAGTTACATAGTGCTGCTATGTTCGACATCGAACTGTAAATGTGTGAATGTGTGGTTAAATTATTAAACTGTTAACTTCCTTAAATATTTACATTTAGTCATTTAGCAGATGCTTTTTTTATCCAAAGCGACTTTCAAAATTTTAATTACAGAATTTCAAATAAATATTTCATGTCAAAGGGGTTTGACTGACAAATATGTTTGGGAAACCTTGCATTATATGAACAAACATTAATAAACATGAAAACAGCAATGACATCACATGCCCAAAGTCTCTTAGGTTTGAAATATTTTTGTCCAGGCTTCCAGAATCAACTGTTACTGAAGGTCACTGGATCACCTTTGACTCATGTAGTCTGCGATTTTAGATAAAGACTAGTAAAGACTAATGGAATAACCATTTTGAGAATTTACAGTTTTTTTTTTTAATTGCTAACATCCCTTTGTCCAATCTCGTCACATTTTCTAAACACAATTAGCACAACATCTGTCTGTTGTGACCATAACCTTTAAAAAATCCGTGTTGTTTTCACACAATATGCAGTCAATTTTCTTTTCATGCAAGCTTACCCAAAACCAAAATCATGGATCTTTTTAGTCTTATTTACAAATGCTTAAACACAGCATGTCAGAAATTAAGTCCTAATGTTCCAAACCTTAAATATACGGTAGTATAAAACTTTTATTTCTGCAACAACATCAGCTTAAAAGTATTGGGGGGAAAAAATCACTCTATATAAAATATTGTAACAGCTGATAAGCATTTTTAAGTAACAGATCACTGAAATAGTCAGAAAAGCTGATTCCAGTCTCAGTTGGAGGAATGGTCAGGTGTTGAAGCTCTTTCCATTACATCAACATAAACGTAAAAATGACCTCTTTGGATTGGTTTTGTGGATGCAGAACAACACAAAGAATCAAAAAGAGAGAAAAAATAATAATGTCTGGCAGAGGGAGAGGAATAGTTGGATCAGAAGAAGTAGGGGAGCGGAGGAAGAATGTGTGCTGGACTGTGCATTTTTAGGATTGTTTGTTTGTATGTTTTTCCCCTTACACATGTGGAACCTATGAAAGCTTTTTTCTGCCATGGAATATAAAGAGTAAAGGCTAATTGTGACTTTTTAATCTCACAATTCTGACTCAAAATGACTAAACTCAAAATTCCAAGAACAGAAGTATGAATTGTGAGATAAAAAGGTCACAATTACCATTTTTGCTTTTTTATTCTGTGACAGAAACAAGTTTGCATAGTAACCAAAGGTCATGCATGTTGGAATTGTTGTTGATCACTGGCATCAGCTTTATAGGGGACCCTATTTATTTCTATTGTACATTCTATAAAGTAATGACTCATTCACTTTTAGATAGTATGTGGCTAAGAATGAACACAATCAACACTTAAAAATGTAAAATGGGTTTCAGCTGAAGGTAAACTGAGGGCTAAATTACAACAACAAAAAACCCGCACACACAAAAGATTTTTATATTGTCTATTATATGCAGGTAGAACTGAAACATGACAAGTAATGCAGTTTTTGTAAAGCCATCAGCTGTTAGTATTTTGACTGAGCTATGATTGACTATATGTTTCTGTTGGATAGAAACTAGTGGTAATGTTTTGACCGAATTACTAGATTTTGAATGGGGTTTGCTGTGTATATGTATATGCAGAAAAAGGTATTCAGATTTTGTATTTATTTAACTAAATGCGGTTTTGGCCAGAAAATTAACTATTTGGCTAATTGTGTGATGTAGGTGTGTTGCTGTGTTAAGAGTTTAGAAAAAGTACTTTGAGTATTAGTAAATGCTTGTTAGCAATTGAAAAAAACACTGTAAATTAGGAATTGATTTGGAGTGAAATACTTTAAAATTACAGGCTACACTTAACGTAACGTATAAATATTACATAAAACTCATCTTCCTTCATCTTCCTGAATCTTATGTAGGCAACACTGGTACAGAAGTTGTTTTATTTGTTTGTTTGTTTGCTTTTTTCTCTCTCTCAATAGGCGATCATCCTGGATGTGCATTAAGCGCTGACACGTGAACGGTTGCTGTTTACGGTGTTTATTACCACGACAACCGTCTGAGTTGAACATGCTTTTTGTGCATCCTGCTTGAAGGAGATGAAAATATTATGCATCTGAAGCTGTAATTAAATATTGAGAAACAGTGTGTATTATATGTTTATAATTGTTTTAATTGCCGCTTACTCATTTATGAGAAGGAACCATGTAGAGGACACATACGCAATTACTTTTTTGGTTGATATAATCCTTAGGTGTGTAAATGTATAATTGCCTTTTCATTATTTTTTTACTAACTAAAAATAAATGTATTTTAAAGTTTAGAATTAGACAGCCTTTGCACACAGGCTTACGCTGGTAACTCATCAGTGGATTTTCCTTGTCAATATAGGCTATATTTTTTCACACTTTTCTCATTCTATATTTCTGACGTTCCAAAAGCGCCTCCTACTGGCAGAGAATGAATGTTCATTTTCAATAATCCAGTCTGTAGTTTTTGTTCAATGCGAAAATCCACCCACATAACCCCGTTTTAAATTAATATAATAATTTATACGTCTGACTCACCCCTGGTTTAAACGCTCAGTTGTGAGGTTTATCATTTTATAATTTATTTTGTTTTTGTGAAAACCTGTATCTCAACTGTAAATCAGTTGCTATTTTGTGGTCTACAACATGAAAGAAAGCCATTATAACATGTACATGAAAAATGTAGAAACATTGGGACACAATTATGGGGCACCATTGTGCAGCAGCAAGCATCACAACAGAAAAGGAACCTCAAGGCTGATCTAGGAAAATGTGTGCAGATGTATAGGGCCCCATTACTATATTTTGCCTGGGGCCCCCAATTCACTAAATCCGCCCGTGTACATGTATACCCTCATTTACTTTCTTTTTGTCTTTTCCTCTTTATTTGTGTAGGCTATTCTTACAGTTTATCGTTGTTGTTATTATTATGACCGATAACTTTTATGTTCATTAAAGAATGCTGTTAACACTGTTATGTGTTAATGATGCTGTAGCGCATCTCCTGCACTAGAGAGCAACACAGAGCCACTGTACTGAATGTGAAACGTCATGCAGTTGTGATATGTTGTGCTGTTTATTTCGCTGACAATAAAGAAATTTGGAGTTGCACAGTCAGCTGCACGCCGGTGACGTCGCTGTTCATGTGTTTGCAAAAAAGTGACAGATTTAACTGGAATTAATTTTTCCTCGAAGCTGCAGCTTGGATGTAGGCTACGTATCTTAAAATAAGATGCCACAGAAAGATCCTTGTCAAAAACAGGCATGTGCCATACAGAGATGTTTACAAGGTAGCTTTATGATCTCAATGTTAGTTTAACCTTGTTTTGCATGAAGACTACAGGCTAGAAGCAGTTTGACCATTTTATGACTTTTGTATTTTTAACAGCCAACAAATACATTGAAAGCCTTTGTGAGGATGTGATTCAAGCCACGAGGAAGTGTTGTGACGAAGAAAACTGTCTGCTGCTCTGGATTCGCCAAGGAACACAAATCTACAGACGCAAAGACAATCCTTTAATAGAAAGCGAAGCAGAACGCATGTATATTTGCTGCAAGAGATCAGAGGAGACTTTCATGGACATATGGAATACATATTCTTCAAAGACTATATCATTGTATGGACTGATTACAGTCATCCTCCACTTGTCTCTTCATTCTTACAATCAAAC